CCCCAAAACCCCAAAACCCCAAAACCCCTAAAAGGATCAATTTCACTTCATTTGAAGTTCACTAATTAAAAATAAAAAGATATAGAACAATAATTCAATCAGGACTCGAAATAATTTTAGTGCTTTGAACGAATGGTAGGTTTAGCAAATGTATCATTAGTTATCATACTTCCATATATTGTATCGTTATTTTTGGCTTGTAATAGGAGATTATTAAGTGACTGATCTAGAATAGCTTTCATCTTATTTTAAACATGATCCTTCACTGATTAATATTAGTTGTGTTTTGAGTTCATGTTACTTTTTGCATTAATACGCAATTTGATTTCCTCGCCTTCATCATCAACATTGGATTCATCTTCATCGACGTTAATATTTTCACCATGCAATTCCTCATCAGACTCCAAATCAATATAGTCTTAACCCACTTCTTCCTCAATATAGCTCTTATCATAATACTTATTAAAGTCGTTTTTAGTTTTTCTTGATTCTGAAGCTACCTTCAACTTACTTGAATGTGAAAGATTGCTCTGGTTATGTTTAGTTAGATTCTAGATATGAATATTCTTGAATGTTGACTAATTATGACTCCCATGCTTTGATGAGGCATATGATGCTTGACTAGGATTCTTAGAAAGAGTTTACTACGTTTAGTTATGCGTGATTATGTCGTTATTGGATTATTATGTCTGAATATTTGAAAAAGTAGGTTTGTAATTGAAGATCTAATTAGCTTGATTTTGAACTGGCTTGATCGAATCAATTATTGAAGTTGCTTGAGGTGGGTAAATAGATGTTGCAGTTTGAGGCATCTTTTCAAAATTCCTTGCAGAAGGACTGAAACTTTGAGAGTCAGATCTTGGTCGTTTATATGTTAGAGGATCTGTATTTGAAGCTTATTTTTGCTCTTTTCTCTCCTAACTAGCCTTAGATTCTCTTACTCTTCTTTCATTTATTATTTGAAACAGTTTTTATTCCGCATTTTTGCTTTCATTTTTAATTTAGCTGAGCTATGAATATATTTGATCACTATTCCTTGCAGGAGATGTTACTCCACTTTTAAAATTAGATAGCTAGTATCCTTCAGACATATTAATTTATGTTTTAATTGAACTTGGGGACAGTACTCTATTTTGCCTAAATCCGAACGTTCCACCTCCATATCCAGGCTTTGTAGTTCTTTTAGTTTAATTGAAGTTCTTCAAGTTTTATTATTGTATTTTTTATTGGAAATCTTTATTACTTGCAATGTTAAATGATTTAATACAATCACCCATTTCTTGCACTTTATTATACTAAGGATCATAGTTTTTATCTGATGAAGTTTTTTTGTAAAAATGACCATTTAAGCCAACCACAACTAAAACACTCTTTTAAATTAATTTATACTTACATTCCTCTCCCATCTTTTTCTATTTTAGAAAATCTTCGTCAACAGCATTAATAAAGCTGCTCTAGAGTCTCATCTCTATATTCCTCCTTTGATAATCTATTTGCTGTCTATCTCTTTCAATAGATAATAGAGCTTTGGAATAGCACTCATCGCATACCGCTGAGGGAACTTAATTGCCCTCATCCTTTTCTTAAAAAATTGTTATCCAAATAATTTTACAAACTTACATTATAGAAGGCTAGTACTCAAAGCTATTTGAGATCCAGACATGTTAAGAGTCAATTCAAGCTTATTAGCAGATTATTATGGACTTTTAAAATCCTGGTAGCATTTTTTGCAAATTCTATTTTTTGTAGTGCCTGATGGCGACTTAAGAAGGCATGTAGAATTCGCGTTAAATAGAGTAATATTTGATTTCATAATCTAAGTTTAGTTAGATCATGGAGAAACAGGAGATCTAAAGCTAATTCTGGGCTTTTAACTTTCAAATTCCATTCCACCTGGTCCAGGTATATAAGCTACGTCCAGAAGTTAATTTAATGGAAGATAATTACTATTTCTGATCTTCGAGAACCTCTCAGAAGTTGAATATGTATACATTTTTTCTGTTATTATAGTCAGTATTTATTTAATTTCTTCAATTTTCCCTCTATCAAAAATTCTTATCAGCCGGGGTTTTGGGGTTTTGGGGTTTTGGGG